ACACACACACACACACACTCACTCACTCACACACACACTCTCACACACACACACACACTCGCTCACAATCACTCACACACACGCTCACACACACACTCACTCACACACACTCACTCACTCACTCACTCACACACACGCTCACACACACACTCACTCACACACACTCACTCACTCACTCACTCACACACACGCTCACACACACACTCACTCACACACACTCACTCACTCACTCACTCACACACACGCTCACACACACACTCACTCACACACACTCACTCACTCACTCACTCACACACACGCTCACACACACACTCACTCACACACACTCACTCACTCACTCACTCACACACACGCTCACACACACACTCACTCACACACACTCACTCACACTCACACACACACACACACACACACACTTACTCACTCACACTGCCATGTCTTTCGCGAGCGTTTGAATCTGTTTCTCACACACTTTTTGCAGTGGAGGAGTTCCAGAAGTTACAGGAGGCTAAAGAGGTTCTCATGGATGAGAAGAAAAGAAAGAATTACAATCTCTGGCTCCAAAGTCGAATTGCAATCTCGTTCCGCGAGTGCTCAGTGACTCTGTTAAAACAGTGAGTGTTAGTCGCTGCTTTGAATGACAGGACGCTGGTGATGAACGAATGCATGGAAAATTAACACTGCATTCTGTCGTGCAATTTTTAATAACTCATGAATGCGTTTCCTAAAATGAAATCTCAGTCAATGCATTGGGCCGTAAGGAGCAAGAAAGAGCCGATGCTTGAAGCTGCAAAAGATCCAGATCCAGTGAACGTGAATGGAGAGAAACCGTCTGAATCCTGTAAGAGATTTCTTTGTGGTGGCTATTTATAATTCTTCAGTTATTTGTTTTTTTACCCTAGTGTCTCTGTTTCACAGATGATTTTTGGCATCACAGGCTTCGCTGGGCTGGTGAAGCTCCCTCAGGCCTTTTACAGAAGTTCAGGAACTATGAAATATAAATGCATATTTTCTGTCGTTCTATTCTTATCCTATTCTATTCTTCCACATATAGAGGAAAGAATCAGAACACTGACCTGTCATTTACTACGTGTCACCATTATGCATAACGTTGACTTGGTCTGTTTTAGTTTGCTTTGCAGAAAGGTAAGATATGTTGACATTAATGTTCAGCAGTGATGCTTTCTATGCCTTAAATGTCCAATCAGAAGGATTTTTTGTTGAAATATGAGTTTCAAGCCTGCAGATTGGCACAATAAATGATTATAAAGATTATTTTAATGAATATAATGTGTAATAAATAATGCATTTTTATGCATATAGCATCAATTAAAGGAGACATATTATGCCCCTTATTACAATATGTAATATAAGTCTCTGGTGTCCCCAGAATGTGTCAGAATTTCAGCTCAAAATACTCCACAGATCATTTATTATATCATTTTGAAAATGCCTATTGCAGCTGAATGATAAAGTTTACCCTCTTTAACTCTGTTGCTCTGCTTCTCCCATCGACTGTCACTGTAGACTACTAACACAATCAGATACAGCAATCACTTCTTAAATATTTATTACAATATATACTGATAAATTGAAGATTGACTTCAATGGCATGAGATGAGTGGATGCTTTCAGCGGATTTCTATTGAACTGAACTGCAGCTCAAACTATTTCAGACAGAGTGGATTACGCTACAGACTGCATCATAATGCACAATATTTCCATCTAACATATTAATGGAGCATTTCACTCTTTATGACAGAACTACATTATTTATTTAAAGTCATTTTTATTCGTGTATTAATTTAGTTGTATTTATTAATTTTTAATTTTCTATTTAATCTCTTTAAATCTGTAGATTTTTCTTCTGACGGAACTAAAGGCATTTTTCACGAATCTATTATTTAACTTTATTTTTTATTTAATCCGTTTACATTTTATTTATATATAAAAAATTGTATTTTAATTGTATATATTATTTTTTTTAATTTTTATTTAATCTATTTGAATCTGTCGGTTTTCCTTCTGATGTGACTAAATGCAATTTTTAAATGCATTTATATTTATTTATTTAATTGTATTTTATTTTATCTGTTTAAATCTGCCGGTTTTCCTTGAGACGGAGCTAAAGGCATTTTTGCATTAATTTATTATTTATTTTATTTTTAATATTTTAGTTTCATCTGTTAAATCTGCCGGTTTTTCTTCGGACAGAACTAAAGTCGGAACAGATTTCACTTTTTAATTTTTATCTGTGTCACTTTTATTCTACAGTCCTCTCCAGTTACACACCTGTCCGCTCTTCCTCAACGGTGTGTTCGTTCATTGGTCAAAGTCCAGCGGAGCCGCTCTGTGATTGGTCAGTCCCATGTGTCAATCATTCTATTGGCTTTCACTGACTCCAGTTCACAGACAGTTGTGCGCGCACTGAAGACCTAGAGTTTGAAGTCAACATGGCAAGTAAAGTCCTCCTGAGGGCCTGTCGCCTGACTCTGAAGGGAAGACAACATATTATAATGAAAACAGCTCAGCGTGCGATGGCCGGTAAAGGTGAGAGACATACAGGGATTTCTAGAGAAACGAAGCAGCACGATAAACTACTGATATTATTCATGCACGTACAAAAATAAAGCAATATGCAGTCCTATTCGATATTTCTGAAAGAGTGACACATTAATGCTCTGACAACTGCTCGAAGAACACTTGAAAGTAGGGTTAAATAGGCTAGACATGACTTAAAGCGATAACGTGGAGGCTCGTATGATATATACGGAGCGCGTTTAATCAAGGTCACTTGTTCTTTAAGCTGTGGAGGCCGAGCTCTGGCCTTTCTTGGCACTAAACTCATGTTCGTGCGCCACTTACTGCGGCTCATGGACGGCGCCGCTTTATTTACCCGCAGTTTGGCGACACCTAGTGGACAAGTGGTGTCCTCGCACTCCAGACCAAGTGTAAACAAAACTATTTGCAGTAACACTTTTTACATTAGTAACATTAAGATTATTGTCTGTATAACTAATAATTAGTGAATGTACATGCAAGTATAAGTAATGAAGCTTAAACTAAAACCATTAGAAAATCGTCACTTGAAATAAAATACATAAACTTTTGCAACTTTTTTTGTAACAAAAAAAAGTATATATTTATTTTTTTTCATTTAGGTTAACTTGTACTGTACTAAAAAAAACTAAAATAAGAATTAGACCATACATACTCAATGAAAAAAACAAACAAAAAAAACACATTGACTACAACTTAAAAATTGAAATGAAAACAAAATCAAAATATTAATAAAATGTAATACATGTTTATATTGCACAATTCAGTTTTTTTGTTCCCACCAAAGAATAAATATTATAAAATAATAACACTGATATACACTAACACTGATATACACTGTAAAAAATAGTTTTTGTAAAAATTGATAAAAGAAAGATTATTGGAATACTTTTTTACAAATACAAAAAATCAGCTTCTTGCTATTTATTCGTAAATCATTGTGAAATTTACTTAAAATTTCTGAGTGAAAATCTTTAAGTGTATGAATGTGCATGGTCTGTTAAGCATTATATTTTTGTTTTGTTTATGTAGAGTAAAAGATTACGTTTAAATAATTTTTATAACACTTTTAAAAAACGTTATTAAAATAGAATATAAATGCATATGCATTTGCAGTATAAACTTTATTAATACAGTTATTTGTTTTTCTTAGAAGATTCTTCTTTGATCCCTTGAGGATAAATCTCAAGATTATGATGTAATGCCATTATCATTTCAATGAGAATATTTGACTGGGGCATAATAGGTTATATTTAAATTAAAAAAGTATATGAAATTGTTTACTGTATTCACAGTTAAATTAAAAAAAAAAAGTATTTTTTTGACCGTATTAATGGCAGATATTTTCTCTTATCTTTTGTCCTCCAGGGCTCTGGTTGCACTCGTCCGCTTTTACTCAAGCATATCACTGTCTTACCATCGATCTGTTTTCTGGTTTCAGGCATTCCGACAGATGAAGAGCAGGCAGCGGGGCTGGAGAGACGCGTCCTGCAGGCCATGAAGAAAGGCCAGGTAACACACACAATGACCTTCTGTTTGACCAGTGTATAGTTTTCATTCTGAACCACCTATCATCTGTTATACAGGATCCATACAGCATATTCAAGCCAAAGGAATACACTGGAACCAGAGACGACCCTCATATCGTTCCCAGCATCAATAACAAACGACTGGTCGGCTGCCTCTGTAAGATACACACACGCGCACACACACACTCTCACACGTGCACGCACGCACACTCACGCACACTCTCTCTCTCTCACACACACACTCTTTCTCTCACACACAC